ACGACGACGAGCATTATAAACGACGCGCCGCTTCCGGGCGAGAGCAAACCTGCACAGAACAGTGCATTGCATTTGTGAGCGCTGCGCATGCGAATCGCTCAGCGCCTGCCTGTGTCGTTTTTGGTTGCTTCGCTGTCCAGCAGCAGCACAGGGACACGACGACGAGATGTTTCCTTGCCCCTCGGGTGACAAGCCCCGACGGAGCAGAAGTTGGAGGAGGAGGAGGAGAAGGAGGAGGAGGACGACGACGACAGGCAGCAGCCAAGTGTAGAAGCCACGCTATGGGTATAAGGCATACGGAGGGCCTTCGGTTCAGACAGTGAAGGAGCAGTTTGGATTTTTTTTTGTTTTGTTTTAAAGTTTTGGGGGTCTCTTTCGGCGCGGCAGCGGCGGCGGCAACGGCGGGAGGGTGGCGGCGGCGGGAGCTCCCCTCCCTCCCGCCTAAGCCATGCAAAGCGAAGCCGCAGTGCCAGTCAAGGAGCAGCAATGAAAAGCAGAGCCACTATGCCATGCAGTGCCAAGCCGCGCCAAGCAGTTCCTGGGTGTGCCCAGTTGCCCGGCGTTCCCCAGGACTGCCTTGGTCTGGAATGTCAAGCAATGCAGAGCAAATCCACAATGCCGAGCAATGCTACGCGACGCACAGCAATACCACGCAATGCCAAGCCTGTAGTAGGTTTCTTTTTGTGAGGTACTCAGATCGAAGGAGTGGGTTGGGGGTTCTACTCCTTCAACCTCTTTGTATGGTAACTGTAGCACGGTGTTGCAACTGATGCGCCAATGTGTCCAGCGCATTTCCCAGTGGGACACAGCACCGTTTTGCCTAGAAAGCTGGCTTTGCTGCTTTGGCCTGAAGGCTCACTCTGAATCCACCGCCAGAGGGACGCACGTTGGCACAGCCGTGCCATCCGAAAGCAACTATCGGTCATGCGTTGCTGCACTCCTCGCGCCGGAAGAATTCTGTTTAGCTCGTCTCTGCTTGGTTTCCATTTGCAGTGTTGTCGCCCTCGGCCGCCGTGGTTGGCCACCAAGCAGTGTCAGCTTTCTGGCGCAATGATGAGTAGAGGTCTTCGTTCTTCTTCCTTCCACACCAAATCTAAACAGTTCTGACTGAGGAACGCAAAATATTGCAATGCGTGGCATTGCTTGGCGTTGTTTGGCATCGATTCGCAGTGGTTGGCGTTGTTTGGAACGGCTGCTTGGTCGGCCCAAAAACATCGCCTAACCTGCATGCCGCCACTCACGCCCGAACACGCACGGATGGTTGTGTCCGGCGGCCCAATCACTACAATGGCGGCTTGCGCTCGAGGTGGTTTGGCCACCGTGTGTGAGCGAAGCCGGAGCCTGAGGCCCAGAAAAGCGAGCATAATTGGAATTGGCCGCTGGGGAGAAGCGGCCAGGGAGGGCCAGGAGCGGGGTGCGGGGGGGGGGATTGGGGGGGGGCTTAATGGGCCCCAGAAACGGCAGGGCTGTTCTTTCACCGTTTCCGAAAATGTGTCCCTTGAAAATGGAAACGGCAAAAAAACGGCGACCAGAAACGGCAAAAAAACGGCTCCAGGACTGGACCTGGAGCCGGAACCGGTCAAAAAACGGCGACGGAACCGGTAAAAAAACGGCGTCGGAACCGGCAACAAAAACGGCAAAACGGAACCAGTAAAAAACGGCCCTGTCGTTTCCACGGCCCACTAGGGGAGGGGGGGGGGGGGGGCAGCACCGAGAGCCATCAAGACGCAGGGCCAGCGGCCACCACGGAGAGGAGGAGGCCAGCCAGGAGGCGCGAGCCAGAAAGCTCGCCCAAGAGGAGAGGCCGCGGGCGGCACAGCACCTGGCAGGCGGAGGGCCCGCGGCCAGCACGAATCAGGAGGGGAAAAAACACACAGACACAATTAACCGTCGACTCCCAGAAAATATGGGAAAATATGGGAAGTGGGGGGGAAGACAGAAACCCATAACATATGGGAAAATATGGGGAATCTGTTTATTTGTGTGTATGTATTTGTGTGTCCCAGGGCCCCTTCAACGAAGTCCACAGGCAACCGCAGAAGAGAACGGAGGGGGCAACAAAAGCGACGATAGGTTCGAAGAAGAAGCAACGGGACAAGCATTGATTGTTGGCGCCACCCCCTGGCATCGCTCGGACGTGTGCGTTTGTCCTTCGGCGAGGGCCATCGAGGAGCATCCTTGATCATTTCCCGAAACAACCACGCACGACACCGAAAATAGCACAGGAAGTAGACGTCCGAGCGATGGCCAGACCCCTAGCGCGCTCCGCGCGCCAGAGGGTCCAGCGCCGATCCCCAGAGGTCCGCGCGGAGCCCCGAACGTTTTGTTCATGTCGTTGTTGGTTCCTCTTCTGTAGATGCAGACGTCAGGCGGCAGGATGATTACCTCCGCAACTCCAGTGCCACTGACAATCGTGCCACTGCAGCGATCGGTTTGCCAAAGCGAAGACCGTGGGCGTTAATAGGCCGCCAGCAGTGTAAAGCCCGGCCGAGTTGGAACGGGGGCCCACCCAGCAAGGGCGCGCAGGCTGGGAAGGAGATTTCTTTAGTCTGCATCGCCGCCAGTAAGCCATTCGCATGGACGTTCTCGATATAGGCCTTGACCACATGGCTTCACCAAAAGCTGGCAGTCAGCCAGTCCTCTCAGTTGGTCCAAACCCTCTCGAAGCACGAGACATCCAGTGCCTGAGTTATGAGTCAGCAACTTAGCCGCAACCGCCGCATCTGAGAGGAGATCACCATGCGAGCCCCGAGCCACAAAATTTTACCCTTGAGCAATACTGCTGTGATTACCAGTGGCTTAGCCGCGAGAGGACCCAGGCAAATCAGGCTGGACCCCGCGCACCTTCCTACACTGCAGGCACCCGTAAGGCAGTCGATCGGAAGACGAAGGAGTTCAGAGGTTCCACATCCGCGACCCAATGACCATTGATGCCACAGTTGCTCTCCATCCCGACAACCCTCCAGATTCACTGCTGGTTAGAACAACTAGGGTGCTTTGGAGGTGGCAAGGAGCTCCTCGTCCCTCGCCGGTGGAACGTGGGATCGCAAGGCGTGCGCTATTATCGCCCAAGTGGTTTGTTCTTTATTCGGCAGCACGAATGGGAGAACCACAGAGATGATGCCAAGTGGCGAGGTCACCTTGTTGGAGTACAGTATCGGTACAGTCGGGGCTCTGAAGAAGGAACCCTTTTCGTTGGGGAGGGGCTCCGCGTTCCTTAAGTGTTTCACAGCTTGCTTCAGGTTTTCCGATGTTCTCGATCGGAAATCGAAGTTGAACTTATGGAACAAAAAGGGGCCTCGTTCCTTATTTAGGGCTCCTTAGGTCAACGCCCCGACTGTACAGTGTCGGTATGCCGTGTTCTGAGTCGCTGCAGCTCCCCCGTCTGAGTGGTTCGGCTGCGCCCGGGCCACCAGTGCAGCCCGACCCCGCTACGCACGAGGAGCGCCTGCAGAAGACGGTCGAGCAGAGTGTTCTCAGCTACGGCTGCACCGTGGGAGCGCCCGTGGCTACGTCGGGTCGCTGCGTGTGCATGCCTCTCCGACGCGGAGCGTCCGTGGGGAATTCGGGGAAGAAGGTGTCACTCCTGGCCGGCATGGTGTCAGCCGGTGCCGCAAGTAGAGGTCATCCAGCGGAAGGGCCCGATCATCCCGCTTGTGGCCTTCACTTCCTTCGTGGGCTACGATCGGTGCCCCGAGCATGGCTACCACTTGGGCCAGGCCGCCGAGGGCTGCACGCGCACCAAGCTCAGGGGGGGAAAAACACACACAGACACAAATCATCGTCGATGCCCCAGAAGATATGGGGAAATGTGGGAAAATAGGGGGGGAAGGCCAAAGCCAGAAGGTATGGGAACATGTGGGGCATCCTGTCATTTGTGTGTATTTACTAGTGTGCTCCAGGGCCCCTTCACAAACATCGGACGATCACGTACACACTTTTTCGCGTCGCCGCCACGCGTGCGGCGGCGCGGCGCAGTGGAGGTCGAACGGAAGCGAGGCTCGCGCGGGCCAGCCCGGATCACGCGGCGCGGAGCTCGTGGGCCCACCCGCAGGGGATCGACAGCATCCCTCGCGAGGGTTTGGACGCCCGAAATGGGCACGGAAAGAGTGGGCACAGTGCCCAGCAGCAGTTCCTGTTCGTTCCGAACAGGCCTCGCCGTCGGTGTCGCCGCGGCCCGTGTCCACTCGAGACAGGAGGAGGCCGCCTGCCCAGCAGCGGCCGCCGCTGGTTCGGGACCACATTTGTCGTTGGGCACTGCACCCATTGTTTCCGTGCCCAGTTCGGGCGTCCAAAGAGGGGGCCATCACGGGTGGAGCAGCGGGGGAGAGGGGTGAGAGGGAGGGAGACGCAGTGCGCAGTCCGGGCGACGAGACGGGGGCGCAGGGGCGGGCCACAATGGCGGAGCGCACGCAGGACGAGGCAGCAGACAATACGGGCTCCCTGTGGTCGTATGCACACGCACACACACACAGACAGACGCACACACGCACACACGCACACAGGTTCTAAGGCCGAGCGTGCGTGCTGCTTGTCACTCGTTCTCCCGTGCCCTGCCCCTCTTCTTCTCTCCAACATTTTCCTTTCTCCCACGTCCCGAATGTTCTTCATTACCCGTTTTTCCCCTCCCTGACCTCCCCCCTCTCGTCCCTCTCGTTTTGAAATGGGAGAGGGGACGGGACATCAAAGTAGCAAATCGTACATGTCGACGGAGAACGCGACCAGGGAGAATGAAGAGGGGAGGTGGATGTGAGCGCAGGGGATGTACAGGACGGAAGGGGGACAGCAAGGGAGAAAGGGAGGAGGGGAGGGGAAGAGGAAGGGATGGGATGGGGGGGGAGAATGTGGCCAAGGGAAGAGAGAAGCGAGAAAGGCGGGCGTGGGGACAGGGGAAATAAGACGACCGTTGCTTGCCCGGCTCATCTTCGTTGATACCTTTGGCGTCAATTGTCTGCCTCTGCCTTGTTCCCGAACACGTCCGCGAGCGGCCCGCGGGCGAGGTGAGCCACTGTACAAGAAGTTGCAGGACTGCCGGGTTCGACGCCCTCCTTGTTTCCCCCCACATTCTCCCCTCCTCTGCCTCTCTCCCGCCCCCCCCCTTCGCCCTGGATGGAGGATGTTATGGTCAAGCGGGGCATCAAATGTGAGAGGGCCTCAGGATTGAACCAGAGGCGAGAAGGGGGAGGACCAGGGGTAACAACCCTCCTCGATCCCCGATCTCCCTCCATCCTCCTCAGTCCTGGATCCTGTTCTCTTCCCCGACGTGCAGCTGACTGTGGGGCCGTCTGCCAGCTTGACAGTTGGGCCGTCATCTTCGCAGCCGACCTGTGAAGTTGACACTTTGGCCCCACTGTCAAATACACATTTCCTCTGCGCCCTCGGAGGGCATTTGGCATTCTGGCTGACTGTTAGCAAGGGAGGCTGTCGCATGTAAATATGTGGTGATGTTTCGGTTTCCGTGGTCCGGGAGGCCCCAGGGTCCCCAGAGGCCCTTCAGAGAGTCAAAGACGGGTATCCAATTTTGCACTTTTGTATTGTCCAAGCTGACCTCGTAAGTCTGTCGGACATCCAAACGCGCATGTCCAACTTTATTGCCCAAGCGAGTTGTTTCATTATCGCGGTCAGCGAGGCACAGCTTCGTGACCAGATTCCGACTTGCAGTTTAGTCGTGACTAGGCTTGCGCTCGCTGGTGTAAAACACCCAGGAGCCTGGATATTATCTCGGAGCGGCCAAATCTGGGTCACCGGTTTGACCCTGGCTGGGCTTGGACTCGCCCGGGTAAGACTGGGAAACCCGACTGAGCATGTCTGGAGCGTGCAGTACAGCAGTGATTGGATTTGTCCAGTATGATGGTAGTGGGGCTGGTACACGTCGGAAGAAATGACTGCATTTCCGCCGCCCGTGTGGCCACGCGCGACACGGTAGAAAGAGGGAGAAGGGAACATGGGCACGTGCCCCCTCGCAGTCGTTGGCCACTACATGGCGACGTGGACTGGCTATGGGGCACTACTTTTTCCGGCGGTTAGTGTGGTTCAAGGTTGAGCCAGACAGTTTTTGCATGAGCTTCTTATTCAGCGCGCGGGTAAGGAATCAGATGCCGTCCGTGTCACTCACACCCAGGCGACAAACAATGGAAACATTGCCGCGCGGCTTTGGCCATTGCGTGTCAAGCAGCGGTTGGAAGGACTCGGAAAACTCGCTTTGTACACACCCACACAACAAATAAGCTAGGAACCTTTCTCCCTCCCGCCCCGCCGCGAGCGCTGCGGCTTGCCCGGGCGGCCGGGGTGGGGCGGGCAGGGGAAGGGGTAGGGTAGCGGCGCGCTCGGGCAAGGCCCACGTCTACTTCCTGTACGTACATGGCCTTGGTCGTCTTCGCTCCGTCTTCCTCCCCGGGGGCTGACATGCCCCTGCGCGCTGCGCGCGGCACCGGGGCGCGCGTTGGCCGGTCGCGGGGCTGCCGCGTGCGAGCGCGCGCGCTGTTTCGCGCTACGGTGTCAACGCTCCGCTTCTGATCAGTGTGCCTTCCTTTCGATCAGTGGGTCCTGTTATTTCGACTTGCGGGCCTTCTAAGTTCGACCAGTGGGTCCGGGTTGTTTGTCCATGTGCATTGTAATAATGACTTGCGGGCCTCACAAGGTCGACCAGTGGGTCTCGTGATTTCGGCCTGCGGGAATCATGCGCGACCCGAGGGTCTGTTTTTGCTGACCAGTCGATCTGAGTTTCGACAAGTGGGTCTTGTAATTTCGACTTGCGCGTTTCATAGTTTCGACATGAATGTTTATTATTAATCGCTTCGCTCATTCCGCCGGCCCTGGAGCGCTATTTGGGACCTCTTGGGGCCGTCTTGGGGGCTTATTCGGAGCTTCTTGGGAGCGTCTTGGGGCTCCTTGGCGGCGTATTGCTATTTATTCAATCGCTTCGCTCACTCCGCTGGCCCGTATTGCATGATCGCTACTGCTTCGGCGCGGGCTCGGGGCCATTTCGGCGCCGCCGGAAGGAGGAAGATGAGGATGGGGGAGGGGGAGGGGAGGAGGAGAAGAGGATGAGAAGGAACGGAGGAGGATGAAGATAAATATGAGGAGGAGGAGGAGGAGGAGGAGGAGGAGGAGGAGGAGGAGGAAGAGAAGAGGGCGGAGGAGGAAGCCTCTCGATGGCATCTTGCGGCGCTCTTGGGGCCAAACAGGGCCGTCGTCCAGATGCTTCTTTGGGAGGCCTTGGGGTCTGTCGAGAGGCCGTTCGGGGGCGCCTGGGAGACATTTTTGAAGCCTTGTAGGGCCTCCTTTGAGCCTCCTTGGAGCCTCCTGGGGTCTCTTGGGGGCCTCTTGGCGGCATCTTGGGCCATCTTGGGGGCCTCTCGGGGCCTCCTGGGGCCCTCTTGGGGCGGAAGGCTTGAGGTTTCGGTTCGTGGTCCCCATCTTGGGCCCCTCTTGGGGCCGTCTTGGGGCTCTCTTGGGCCGTCTTTGGCGTCTCTTGGGCCGTCTCGGGGCCCGTTTGGGCTCTCTGGGGGCCTTCTTGGGGGCCTCTTGAGCCGTCTTCGTGCGCTCTTGGGGGCCTCTTGGGCCGTCTTGGAGCATCGGAAAGCCGAAAATGCGACAAGGCCAAAATCCTTCCAAACAATCGTAAAATTTATGATTTTGGCCTCTCGGGGCGCTCTTGTGAGGCCTCTTGGAGGCCACTTGAAGCGTCTTGGCGGCTTCTTGGGCCGTCTTGGGATCATCTTCGGCGTCTTGGAGTGCCTTTGGGCGTCTCGGGGGCCTCGGGGCCTCTTGGGGCCCTCTTGGCGCGCTCTGGGGGGCCTGAGAGGCCGTACCCAGGAGGAAAACCATCTCTGAGTAGACCTTCCCGGGACCTTCCCGGGCTGCGGTCGGGGTACTTTTCGCCGGGGGACCCCCAGGGGCCGCCCCGCGCGCCCGAACTAGAAGAATTGTTACCCAGTTACCGGAGATCTCAGCACGCCTCTGGCCCGTTGGGCCGGCGAATTTGGCATGGGGGCCATGCGTCCAGCCTGCCGGTCGCTCACGTTGACCAGTCGGTCTTGCAAAGTACCTGGGGGATTTCGTTTTCGACATTAGGCGCGACCCGTAAATCCTGGATTCCGACCTGCGGGTCTTGAAAGTCGGCCGGCGGGCCGACGTCAATCGACCAGTGGGTCTTTTCGTGCGACGAGTGGGCCCAGGACTGAGGATCAGTAGGGCGTGGAATCAAACCAACCAGTGACATGTCGAGTCTTCAGAGATTCGCGCAAAGACGTACGGATCGCGCATTGTTGAGGAGAGTGTCGCAGGGGCAGCGCGCGTCGCGATCGGGCTCCGCGGGGGCGCCGGCAGGGGGCCCGAGCAGCAGTCACGGCTTGGGCGGGCTGCGCTGCACGGGGTCCGCGCGCCGCGACGTGCGCGGCAGCGCCCGACCTCGGCATTGGCTCGCTCGCTCTGGGCGCAGCTCGCGGGGGGCGAAGGGCGCGGCGCGGCGTGGCGCGGGGGGCGCGCGGACACTCGCGAGGCGACACGCTATCGGCGCTCGACGCGAGGTCGCGCCACCGCTTGGAAGGCGCACGAAGTGGCGCCGGTGCGCGACGCGCCCACGCCGACGCCGGGTCGCGCAGGGGCGACGGGCCCACGGGAAGGCGTTCGTTCCTGGCCAGGGCGGCAATTGGCGCGCGGAATTTGAGCAGAAAGGTACAATTTGAGGCCGACGCTGCCAGCGCTGGCAGCGAGTAGAGCCGACGATGGGAATGGGCAAGGCGCGCGGCAGCGCCGCAGGCCATGAACGGTCAGCGGCGCCTTTGCTTCACGTGGACGTGCAAGCAGAGCTTCGCGGAGGAGCCCGCAAACTTTGGGCCAGGCGCGATGGCCGCGGTCTGCAGCGGGGTGGGGTCGCTGGAAACGGAGGCGAAAAGGCCGCGGCGTCGCGGAATCCGACGGCCGTTTCTTCGTGTCGGTTTGAAGAAGCTCCCGTTCTGGGCAGAGTCGAGAGGCGCAACAAAAACGCGACGACAAACAGGGGCCCGACCAGATCGAGGGACCCTCGCAATTCCTCGCGCGGGCCCGGAGCTGCGGACCTGGCCGGGGCGAGGTCGCTGACATCTCGCGCAGCGGCAGGCAGCGTTCGGCGAGCGATCGCGCGGCTGCGCGGGGCGCGCCGGCGGGGGCCGCAGAATGTAGGGGGCCGCGTGCGAACCCCACCCCTGCCCCCCACGACTTTTGGGGGGGAGGGTGGGGTTCACTTCGTTCGGGGGCTCTCGAGCGAAGTGAACCCCACCCTCCCCCTCAGAAATCGTGGGGGGTAGGGGTGGGGTTCGCATGCGGCCCCCTAGAATGGTCAACGCGCGCAGTCGCGCTGTTGCCTGCGTCTGCACCGAGCAGACGTCGCCGGAGCGGCGTCGATCCGCCATCGCCAGACTGTTTTGCAGGCGCGCTCTCCCGCGGCAGCGGCAGCGGGGCGCGGCTGCTGCGTCGGGCGGCAGCGCGGGCGCCTTAGAGTCCAGTTGGAACAAGGCTAGCTGGCGCTCGGCAGAGCGCCCCCCGCGCCGGCGATGAGTCATTGGACGGCGGAGCGGCCGTCGAGTCGGCCCGTCCAGACTTGTCGCGCGAAGCAGGTGCCGCGAGCGACCGCGGCGCCGCGCGGCGCCCAGCGCCCCGGCGGCGCAAGGGTGGCAAGAGCGCCGGAAGGATCGGCAAGGGCAAAGAAGGCGGCGAGGGCAAGTCTCCTTCCGCCCCGCCCCCAGCGCCAGCGAGCGACTGCGGGAGCGCCGCGCGTAGAGAGTGCCGGGGGCCAGGGTCGCTTACTTTTGAGCAGTGGGAAACCGCCCCCAGCCCCCACAGCCAGCGATTTTACCCGCAAGGGCTTCGCCCCCTGCCGCCGGCCCCCTCCCATTCAGAATGGGATGCATCAGAGTCGCGTCGGCGCGTCTCGGCGCTGCCCTGGCGCATCTGGGAGCATCGCGCGGGGGCGGATAGGAATTGCCAGCGCGCGTCGATTGAGACGTCGGCGTCATCGAAGACGCCCGCGGCGAATCACCGCCGCCCCTTGCCTTTTTGGAAGCGCCCATGTGGCTGGGCGTCGAGGCCAGACCTGCCAAGCTATCGGACCATGCGTTCCCCTAATCGGTTTGGAAAGTCCTCAGGGAACACGTGGGCATCTTCATCTTGGCCGTCTGGAGGCCATTTTGACCCTTTCGGGCCTTCTTGGAGGACGTCTTGGAGTGCTCTTGGGCCGTCTTGGAGGCCGAGCGCCTTGGAGGCCTCTTGGGCCGTCTTGGGGGCCTCTCGGGGCCGTCTTGGGCCTCTCGGGCCTTGGGCCGTCTTGGGCCAGCTTCGAACCGACTTCGGCCATCCTGGTGGGTTCCTGGCCCGTCTGGCGCCGTCGGGAGCTGTCTTGGGGGCCTCTCTGAACCAGCTTGGGGCCCTCTCGGGGCGCTTCGGGGCCGTCGTGGAGGCCTCTTGGCCCGTCTTGGGGCCCTCTTGGGGCCGTCTTGGGGGCCTCTTGGGCCGTCGTGGGGCCATCTTGGAGGCCTCGCGGGTGCTCTGGGGGCGATCTCGGGGGCCTCTTTGGGCCGTCTTGGACAGCGGGAAGGCTTAAAGGAAGCACGTGTCACAATCATGTAAAAACCACTGGAAATCAATGATTTTGGCTTCTTCGGGCTCTCCTGGGGGACCTCATGGCACCCTCTTGGGCCATCTTGAGGCCATCTTGGAGCCATATTGGCCCGTTTTGAGGTTTCTTGGACGATTTAGAAGGCATCGTGGACCCTCTTGGGCCGTCTTGGAGGCCATATTGCACCATCTTGAGCGAACTTGGAGGCCGCCTTGGGCCATCTCGGCCGTCTTGGAGGCCATCTCGGGCCAACTTGGGACAGCAAAGGCACCGGCGGATGCGCATTGAGATCCTTCCCGGGGCCCCGGCGGGACGCGCCAGAGCCCCAGGGGGAGTTCTTTTGGAAAAAGAACCTAAACCAAAACCGAAATCATCTAGTGCGCCAGGCACCCCTGCGATGAATCGACAGGGGGCGGCGGATCCTAGTGGCCTTCGGCCCAACCCGCCGCCGCGTCTGGGTCGTGGGTATGAGGCTTCTTGTTTTTGTCTTCGAGTGTCGCGGGGGGGCCTCTCGGGGGCTTCTTGGAGGCGGCTCCAGCTCCTCTTGGGGGCCTCTGGGGGCCTCGTGGGGTATCTTCTGGGCTTCTTGGCGGCCTCTTTAGCGCGTCTTGGGGCCTCAGGAGGCATCCTGCGGGCTTCTCGGGGCTTCTCGGAGCGCTGTTTAGGCCGTCTTGGAGCCCTCTCGGACCGTCTTGGGGCCTTCTTGGGGGCGCATTGTCTTGTGGCGTTCTTGGGAGCTTCTCGAGCCATCTTGGAGCGTCGGAAAGCCGTTTGCGAGAACCCCGAACTCCTTCAACAATTTCTGTAAAATCGACAACGTTGGCCTCTTGGCTCTCTCGGGGGGCCTCTTAGAGTGCCAGTGGGGCCGCTTGGGGCCGTCTTGGGCCGTCTTGGAATCATCTTCGGACGCCCTGGGGCATTCTCGGCCTCGGCAATGCGAATGCGGTAGAGTTTGCGAAGGGTTCATGGCCACGTGGAGGCGAACATTAAATCATTAGAGCGTTCGTTGCCTCGGTGACGCATGCACTGAGCAATTTGGAAGGGTTTGTGGTCTCGGGGGCGCAACGATTGCATAACTTACCACGATGGTTCTGGCTTTGGGGGCGCGACGACTGAGCAATCTGCCAGAGCTTGCGGCCTCGGGAATCCCCAGATCTCTCGACAGATTGTTGCCAGATCTTCCTCCTGCTGTTCCAGGGTGTTCCTTGTTTTGTTTCATGCCGCGTCGCGGGTGCGCGTCTTGTTTTTTTTTAAATTCCTGGCTGTGTTGTCTGCCTTGCTTCGGGGCTGCAATCTTTACGGGACAACCTCGAGATATGAACCCGTTATGTTTAAACTTCCTTGTTGTTTTTTAACCTCCCTGTGCACCAAGCAGCTCCGTCCTAGACAACATCCTGAACTTACAGGCGCCGACGCTGATACCCAAGCATCCAAGATGTTTGCAGACATGTTCGTCAGCCTCAGAGGCGCATTGGTGTATGCATTGATCACCAAGGGGTGGTTGATGGTGTATGTTGTCTCTCTACAACGTGTCCAAGAACCGACCAAAATACAAGTGCGACGACTGGACGCGATCATCTGGAATCTGCACGCCTGCCCTAAGAAGATCGTCTACCAGGCGATGACTCCCACGGGCGAAGATGACCTGCACAGCGACTCAGGTAATCAACGCCTGAGTGGAGATGCCGACGACGAAGTCAAAGGCTATGGTACTCGCGGGGCAAACCTGCTACGGCGCGGAAGCACGCCATCCGGCAAGCCTGTCGTTCACTTGATCGATGCGTACTGCAAGTCTCACCGCTTGCAGGTCCGCTCGAGCTATTCAGCAGAGACACTAGCAGCAGCCCGCAATTTGGAGGGCTTCTATCCCACGATCGTGACTTTGCACGAGCTCCACGCAGGGCCGCTAACTCCAACTTATTTGAAAGATATACGTGAGTTGGGTGGCCTGGGCATCAAGGTCACTTTGACCATCGATGCAGAGTCTGTTTTTTAGTCCTTGTCAAGCAAAGACGTGAAGAAGCCGACTGGGTGTACTCTTTTTAGGACACATCAGCTGGATACGACAGATGATGGAGCGAGGAATCGTGCACATTATTCAATGGTGTGACACCCGCGATATGACCGCGGACGGCCACACCAAGGGGAGCATCGACAGATAAATGCTCCCAGGTCATGGGAGGTACGCAATCCTTCACACATGATTTAAAGCGTCATACTCCCTATCGAGCTGGCCATACATCTCGGTTTGTAGCCGCCTGATGAGTAATCGTATGCACAATAAAGTGCAGGCGAGGCAACTTGCGTGCGGGTCCACCTTCATTATGGCCCCGCCCTTTTGCTGCCCTTTTGTACATAGTAGCTGCTGTACCTGCTGTATAGAGGCGGCGGACTCACGCTTCGTCTCCCTCCCCCCCGATTCTAAAGTGAACTGGGCGTTGCATGTGAGTGGGAGCGAGCGTGCATCCGCGGCTGCTTGGCTCAAAGCGGCAGGCCGCCTAGATCTGATTACACCTCAGTGTGAGATGTACGATTTGCCATCGAAAACTGCTTGATATGGCCCGCCTCCTACTACTGGGACTATCGTTACTACGGTACAACAGAGCTGGAGCTTGGTTTCGCCTAAGGCGAAGCTGCTGGTTGGGCCTCCCAACCCATGTCAAACTGGGCTAGCTTCGGGGGCGCGAGCGGCGCGTTATTTACGAAGGTGTGTGATCTCGGGGGCGCAACCGTTGAATAATTGTATTATGATGTGTTGCTTCGGCGGCGCAAGAATTGCATGCTTTGCGAGGGTTGACTCCTCCTCCTCCTCCTCCTCCTCCTCCTCTTCCTCCTCCTCCTCCTCCTCCCTCCCTCCTCCTCTTTTTCCTCCTCCTCCTCCTCATCATCATCATCATCATCCTCCTCTTCCTCATCCTCCCCCCTCTTGCTCCTCATTTTCCTCCTCCTCCTCCTCTTCCTCGTCCTCCTCCTTTTCGTCCTCCTCCTCCTGTTCTTTTTTATCCTCCTCTTCCTCCTCCTCCTCCTCCTCCTCCTCCTCCTCCTCCTCCCCATCTCCCTCCAGCTTGTCTTCGCAATCAATGTAAGCAGGGACCCCGCCCGCCAAGGAAATGGGGCAGCAGGCTATATTCACGTTCGTGCCTTCCAGCACCACGCAGGCGGGCGCCCCGCCTCGGCCTGCAGCTGCGGCCGCGGGGGGGCCGCCTCGGTGATGTGGTCGCTGGGCTGGCGCAGAGGCGGGCGAGGGAAAGTGGCTGGCCCGCTTCTGCGTTCGAGGTGCCACCTCGTGGCCGTGTTTCGGGCCGGGCGAAAAGGGGGGATTGGGAAAGGGGGGGGGGTACGACATTTGCTGCATGCAGCTGGTCTCGGCCCCACCGAGGAGCCCATTCCTCGATACATAGCCGCCTCCGGCGCCGGGAGGCGCCAGGAAAGTCAGCTACGTGAGCTGATTCTCAAACCCCCCTTTTGCTATCCCCCCGTTTGGCCCGACCCGAGTCTTTGGCCTCTCGGGCGGTTTCTGGGCCCACGACATTCTGAGCAGGAGTTCTGCCTGGCACAAGAGGATGCAGCACCCCTGGGGGGGGCGAGCTCGGCAGTCGCAGTGGCCTGCTATTGGCTGGCGGTGCGTGCCACTCTATGTTGCCGTGGCGGTGTTTCGGGTCGGTGTCCGGTGTCAGAAGTTCGGGGGGGCGCCGCCCCGCGCGCGCATGCGGCGCGGCGGGAGGCAGAATGCGTTGCTGCACGATCGTGCAGTATGAATAGGGGGCCACATGCGGGCCCTGCCCCTACCCCCCACGACTTCTGGGGGGGAGGGCGGGGTTCACCACTTCATTCGGGAGCTCCCGAATGAAGTGAACCCCACCCTCCCCCTCAGAAGTCGTAGGGGGGCAGGGGTAGGGCCCGCATGTGGCCCCCTAATGAAGGTTCCCACGGGTCCCGTAGCTCAGTCGGTCAAGGTTCGGCTAATGGCTGCCAGGGGTCCGCCCTCGTGGAGGTCGTCAGGACTTGGCGAACTTTCCTGGCCCGCTTCGGTAGGCAGCACGGTCTTCGGGTTCCTGCGAGTGCGCCGCCGATTTCGATGAGCAGCGGTTCCAAGGTCCCCGAGTGCAGAGAGAAAGGGCTGCAGTAGAGAGTGGAGAGAGTAGGAATGAGAGAGAGGGGGGGGTACACACAGACACAGACACAGACACAGACACAGACACAGACACAGACACAGACACAGACACAGACACAGACACAGACACAGACACAGACACATACACATACACATACACATACACATACACATACACATACACATACATACACGTATACACATATATACACAAGATTTGACCGGTTCGCTACGCTCCGCCGTTACAGTCTTGGTCGCGTGGCGTCTGCGAGGTGCGCTGCGACCGCCATCGCCGTCAACTGGTAACGGAGCTTTGAGAGGCGGCGTGCGCCACGGGTCTGAAAGGTCTCCCGACGGCTCCAGGGCGCGCGAGGCTTGACTCGTTTATGAGGGTCACACGGCCACATGTCTCAGCCACGCGCAGAGCGGGGTGGGGGGAGGGGGGGGGGCTTCTTAGAAACACCCCTGCTTCTTAGAAGGCGCGGGCCTTATCTATAGATGTCAGGCCGGCGCCTTCTAAGGAGCAGCCTGCTTCGAAGAAGCCCCCCCCCCTCCCCCCACCCCCTTGTGCGCGCCGCCTAATGTCTCCTGGAGAGTTTGAACGGCAAGCAGGGCGTATCGGTTTCAATCAGGAGGAAAAGAAACACACAGACACAATTAATCGTCGATTCCCCGGAAAATATCGGAAAGTATGGGATGTGTGGGGGAAGACAAAAGCACAGAAAATATGGGAAAATATAGGCAATATTTTTATTTGTGTGTATTTATTTGTGTGTCCCAGGGCCCCTTCATTCAACAGGAGCGAGAATTGCCTCGGGGTTATGTTTCATGGGGCTGGGGCTGGAGCCAGGCTCGAGCTGGATCTGGGGTTTGCGCCGCCGTCGTCTGGAAGATTGGTCTGGAAAATCGGTTTCGAGGGATATTGAGTGTCCGGGTCTAGCGTGTCCGGGCTTGCGGGGCCCTGAATCGCCAGCCGCACCAGCTTCGGGAGCGCCAACTAGTGGGCCACATGCGAACCCTACCCCTGCCCCCCACGATTTCTGAGGGGGAGGGTGGGGTCCACTTCTTTCGGGAGCTCCCGAGCGAAGTGGAGCCACCCTCCCCCTCAAACATCGTGGGGGGCAGGGGTGGGGTTCGCATGTGGCCCCCTGCCAACCACACCGGCGGCTCCAGCAGCCTCAGCGGCACCACCATCGGGAGCGGAAAAGAGGGGGGTGATGACTAGGGAGGGTGGATTTCATGGCGCGGGCCATGATTTTTCCGCAGATTTCATGGCGCCTCTTCTTATTTACCTAACAGCGAAGACTGATAGGCTTCTAGTGGTGTCACAAGAGAGCAGCAGATGACTCCACAGGGGGGTCGGGGCGGGACCCGGGGCGGCTGCCGTCGAAGCCCAAATCGCCTGGGACATCCTCGCAAAATCGCTCTTGGCGCTGCTAGAACTCCATTCCCGGCGTACAATTTGGATGCCCGGAGCCAACTGTAGGCCATTTCGTGGTCTTCGAGTTCCCAGAACTCCATTCCCGGCGTACATTTTGGATGCCCGGAGCCAACTGTAGGCCACTTCGTGGTCTTCGAGTTCCCAGAACTCCATTCCCGGCGTACATTTTGGATGCCCGGAGCCAATTGTAGGTCACTTCGTGCTCTTCGAGTTCCCAGAACTTTATTCCCGGGTCACATGTTGAATGCCCGGAGCCAACTGTAGGCCACTTCGTGGTCTTCGAGTTCCCAGAAGTTCATTCCTGGGCATGATCTTGAATGCCCCGAGCCAACTGTAGGCCACTTCGTGTTCTTCGAGTTCCCAAAACTCAATTCCCGGGCCACATGTTGAATCCTGAGGAAGCTGATGCTGAGGCTGAGGCAGGCTGAGGCTGAGGCAGGCTGAGGCTGAGGCTGAGGCTGCAGGCAGGCTGAGGCTGAAGCAGGCTGAGGCTGAGGCTGAGGCTGAGGCAGGCTGATGCTGTGGCAGGCTGAGGCTGAGGCTGAGGCTGAGGCAGGCTGAGGCTGAGGCAGGCTGAGGCTGAGGCTGAGCTGATGCAGGCTGAGGCTGAGGCACGCTGAGGCTGAGGCCGAGGCTGAAGGCAGACTGAGGCTGAGGCTGAAGCAGGCTGAGGCTGAGGCTGAGGCTGAGGCAGGCTGAGGCTGAGGCTGAGGCAGGCTGATGCTGAGGCAGGCTGAGGCTGAGGCTGAGGCTCATGCAGGCTGAGGCTGAGGCAGGCCTGAGGCTGAGGCCGAGGCTGAAGGCAGACTGAGGCTGAAGCAGGCTGAGGCTGAGGCTGAGGCAGCTGAGGCTGAGGCTGAGGCAGGCTGAGGCTGAGGCTGAGGCTGAGGCTGAGGGCTGAGGCTGAGGCTGAGGCTGAGGCAGGCTGAGGCTGAGGCTGAGGCTGAGGCTGAGGCTGAGGCAGGCTGAGGCAGGCTGAGGCTGAGGCTGAGGCAGGCTGAGGCAGGCAGGCAGGCTGGCTGAGGCTGAGGCAGGCTGAGGCTGAGGCTGAGGCTGAGGCAGGCTGAGGCTGTGGCAGGCTGAGGCTGAGGCCGAGGCTGCAGGCAGACTGAGGCTGAGGCCGAGGCTGAAGGCAGACTGATGTTGAGGCTGAAGCAGGCTGAGGCTGAGGCTGAGGCAGGCTGAGGCTGAGGCTGTGACTGCGACTGCCGTTGCCACTGCGACTGCCATCTCGAATGCGACTACGACTGCGAGAACAGCAGGATTCTACAACAGGATTCTCATGTGAATCTTAAGGGGAATGATTCCAGACATGCTCCTACACATCGCTGTTAGGTTGCTTTGCCGGGATAATTCATTACGTCCCAGGCCCCCCCGCTGGGCCGCGCACATGCCGCCGGTCATGATGTGCACCCCCCCCCTCTTGGGCACCCCCCTCTTGGCCGCTCCCGATACCACCACCAGCAACGCCACAGCGGTGGGCACAAGTGGGCGGTGCATCCCCACTGGGACAAGCCCGGTGGCGCCACCGGATGGGCGACCCCAACGCACGAGTCGCCGCGCCCCCAGCCCAGTCGGCATGCGCGCAGCTGCCGAGCTGGGCTGACATTTTTGAGTCGGGCCTGTCCCCCTACAGGGGGATCTTTGACGAAAAATAAGAAATACCCCAAGAAAAAACCAATCAGGGCTACATACATATATATATATATATATATATATACACATATATATGTATGTATACATATATATATATGTATTTATATACATATATATATATATAGAGAGAGAGAGAGGCTAGGGGGATAGAGTTGTAGGGCTATAGGGCTACGTATTGGGCTATAGGGCACCCCCGGGCACGCCCGGGCACCCGGGCACCCGGGCACCCGGGCACCCCCGGGCACCCCCAGGCACCCCCCGGGCACCCGGGCCCCGGGCACCCCCAGGCACCCGGGCACCCGGGCGTGCCGCGAAAATCGGCGACAAACCTAACCTGACCATATGAATCCGCTAGGACCCCTTCGAGGCAAGCTCTGATTGGGGAAAAAATAGTCTGGGGACTATTTTTTGAGTATCTTTTGATCTTTTCGGGGGTATTTTGGGGGGGTATGTTTTACTTGTCGTCGAACATCCCCCCAGAGGGGGACAGGCCCGACATCAGCTTACGTGCCTTCAACCTCAGCCCTCGGCATCAATCCGCGCAGGCACCTGCGTCGCCGCCAGTGCGGGGCTCTCCCCAGGACTTGGCCCCGCTCAGTCAGAGCAGCCACGTCGACGCGAGCCAGCCGCCCGGGAGAGTGGCCGCCCAGTTCGCCCGCCCCTGGCATCGCTCGGACGTGTGCATTTTTTTCTCGGCGAGGACCTTCGAGGAGCATCCTCGACCATTTGGCGAAAAACCACGCACGAACCCACCCAAAAAACACAGGAAATGGACGTCCGAGCGATGGCCAGAGCCGCGAGGCGTGGATGTCCGGCGGCGGCCGATCCGACCGCGACGTGCGCGCCGCCCCCGACCGCGCGCAGCGACGGCGTCGCGACGAGCTCCGCAGCGCACCTTCGAGCTCGCGGGGCAGCACGATGAGCATCGACGCCAGGCCGCGCAGAGT